CAGAGTGGGACACTGTCTCAAAAGAAAAAAAAAAAAGTATGCAGAACTACTCTCAGGATATTACGACAGCTGTTGCTCTAATTCACTTTCTTCAACAACTGGAGAAAATGAGCTTTTCAGAGAAACCGCAATAATTAGACGATCAAATACAACTAATAGGCAAAACTGGAATGGAAATAGAGACATTAATCAGAGTACTCTCTGGTTACTGCATTAGCCATGGACTAGAAAGTACCAAAAAGGGCTGATACCAAACAGACCAAACAACTCATACTTTTGAGATTTGCAGTTCCTAAAAACACAGCAAATTCCTCAGTAATTAACCTTTGCACTTTAAAAGTACACAGTTGCAGAACCCAAAAGGTAAACTTCCATAGATTTCATCTTACTGTCCTAATCTCATAAAAAATTAATAAAAAATATAATATGTAATAGTATCATTAGCAAATACTTTGGTAGTATTTACTGAATCCCAGGCACTATTCTGAGCACTATGGCAAGAAAAAGGTACGAGTTATAGTTTTAACTCATTATAATTCTCATAATCTCCAATGAAGTAGAGAAATCACATCTGTTCCTACTGCAAATTAATCCCTTATATTTGTGTAAAGAATTCTGGCAATATTACTGAAACGTTAAGTATATACAGTATATCCCTTACCCTAGCAACTTCACCTCTGGAAATCTATACAACAAAAATAAAAGCATTAACATTGTAACATAAATATGTAAGGCTACTTATTGAAGAACTATTGGTAACAGCAAAAAATTAGAAATAACCTGTTTGAATAAAACATGTTAGAGCCATAATATAGAATTTTACAGGCCGGGCATGGTGGCTCACGCCTGTATTCCCAGCACTTTGGGAGGTCAAGGCGGGCGGATCACTCGAGGCCAGGAGTTCGAGACCAGCCTGGCCAACATGGCGAAATTACGTCTCTCTAAAAATACAAAAATTAGCCACGTGTACGTGCATCATCACAACATTGCACTCCAACCTAGGTGACAAAGCGAGACTCTGTCTCAAAAAATAAATACTGGATCACTTCCCACCGCACCTAGATAAAAATCCTTATTATTATTTACAAGGCTCTGCCTAATTCCTCAGATTCATCTCACAGCATTCTCTCAAGCAGCTGCAAGAGTCATGGCTGCTCTTCAATATACCAAGCATGCAGCTCTTGCTGCTCAGGTCTTTCCCACTTGCTGTTCCTTCTGCCTGCAACAACACTTCCTCAAACCTACTGTGACCTCCAAGGTAAAATCCTACTCATCCTCAGGTCTCAAATGGTATTTCTTTCAAAGCACCTCCTATCTAACTTATTTTTGAGACAGAGTCTCGCTCTGTCACCCAGGTTGGAGTGCAGCGCATGATCTCGGCTCACTGCAACCTCTGCCTACCAGGTTCAAGCGATTCTCCTGTCTCACCCTTCAGAGTACCTGGGACCAAAGGTGCCAGCCACCACACCTGGCTAATTTTTGTATTTTTAGTAGAGACAGGGTTCCACCATGTTGGCCAAGCTGGTTGCGAACTCCTGACCTCAAGCGATCCTCCTACCTCAGCCTCCCAGAGTGCTGGGATTATAGTCATAAGCTATCGTGCCAGATCCTTCCATCCAATTTAAATCAGACCAGCTTATTCTATACTCTCACTGTATTCTGTACTTTTCCACCTTGCCCTTTACCACATTAATTACTATATATTTTTGTTTAGCATTTGGTTTAATCCACCAGCCATGTCCATAATAACATGATCTTATTTGTTCACGACAGTACCTCCAGTCCTTAGAAAAATGGCTACCACATCAGAGGCACTCAACATCTGATAAAATGAAGGAAGCCTAAATTGGGTGGAAAATCAAGGGTCTCTTCTGGATGAGACTCCACTGGCTCCTCAAAAACCTAATCCAGATTGTTACATCAACAATCTGAAAACGAGGTACTTCCACCATAGCAAACCCTCTAAGACTTGCATCTCATTTCCACTCTCACATTAAAACAAACCCACAACATGCAGTCTTTTTGTATGTATGAGCTCCGAATCCCTTCCTCCATAACCGCTACCAAAAAAATAAATCAACCTTCCTGCTACCATTTTCTATTTAGCCCAAGACTCCAACACAGAGTAATCAAAGTGAATCAAAGTCATACAGTTCAGAAATTACTTGAAATGTATGGCATGCCTGTATGTCAATGAAAACTAGGAAAGAAAATATAAAGAAAACATATAAGGAAAATTAAAGTATTTAAATGGAATTTTCTTATCACAATTTCATGGTGTATGGGGTCATACATCAATGTCTTTGAGGCAAATTTTTTATTTGAAATAACTCAGTTTCAAATACAATTCATGGTATAATTGTTGCAGCTATTGTCTTTCTAAAAGAAAAACAGAAGCACGGGATAATAATCTAAAAGAAAGGATAGGAACACTGTTCTTCCCAATACTTGGGATTCTCTTCCTGTGCCTCCTTTGGAGCTAAAGTGTGTTCAATCACAGGGCAGGAAAGGACCAAGCCACTAAATACATTAACTCAGCGCTTTAGCCTTTTCAGTTCCTTGGGGGAGACATTTTACAGACCCAAGAAAACACGGATCCAAAGATATTCTCAAATAAATACTAAATTGCTTAAAAACAAACTTTAATGCTTAAAAAAAGAGCACGATACACTTCCCTGGAGATGCAAGTTAGACTACCTATTGTTAAAAAGTACAAATAGGGAAAATAGACTGTTAAAGGGCACAGGGCTTTTGGGGGGAGTGATGAAAATGTTCTAAAATTGATTACAGTAATGGTTGCATTGTTTTGTGCTACACTAAAAATGATCACTTCAACTGGGTAAATTGTATAGTATATGAATTAAACCTTAATAAAACTGTGCCGAGTGCAGTGGCTCACTCCTGTAATCCCAGCACTTTGGAAGGCCAAGCTAGGCGGATCACTTGAGATCAAGAGTTCAAGCCCACTCTGGCCAACATGGTGAAACTCCGTCTCTACTAAAAAAGACAAAAACTAGCCAGGCGTGGTGGCGCACACCTGTAATCCCAGCTACTTGGGACGCTGAGGCAGGACAATCGCTTGAACCCAGGAGGCAGAGGCTGCAGTGAGCCGAGATTACACCACTGCACTCCAGCGTAGGGAGCAGCGAGACTCCTTTCCAAAAAAAAAAGAAAAGAAACCTTAATAGAGCTGCTAACAAGACTAAACTCAGCAAAGGGCCGGCAAACTACAGTTTTGGTTTCTGGGATGAGTTTTCAGGGAAAGCACCTGGGTTAGGAGATGGGGAAGGTGCAGAAATTTGACAATCAGAAGGGAAATGTGAGACTTCTGAACAATCTAGTTTGGCTGAAACCTGCTGAAGAAATGTGACAAAAATTCAGGGTGAAAATAATGGACCTTAAAATTGAGTCCCTGGGGCCGGGCACCGTGGCTCACGCCTATAATCCTAGCACTTTGGGAGGCCGAGGCGGGAGGATCACTTGAGGTCAGGAGTTCAAGACCAGCCTGGGCAACTCAACGAAACCCGTCTCTACTAAAAATACAAAATTTAGCCGGGCTTGGTGGCACGAGCCTGTAATCCCAGCTCCTCAGGAGGCTGAGGGAGGAGAATCGCATGAACCCCAGAGGCCGAGGTTGTAGTGAGCCGAGATCATGCCACTGCACTCCAGCCTGGGCGACAGAGCGAAACTCCACCTCAATCAATCAATCAGTAACAACTGAGCCCCTGAACAGGGCGCGGCAGTTCATGCCTGTAATCTCAGCACTCCGGAAGGCCGAGGCTGGAGGACTGGTTGAGTCCAGGAATTCGAGACCAGCCTGAGTGAACACAATGAAACCCCATTTCTACTAAAAATGCAGAAAATTAGCCTAGCCTGGTGGCACAGGCCTGCAATGCCAGCTACTCAGGAGGCTGAGGTGGGAGAATCACCTGAGCCAGGAGCCAGGGAGGTCGAGGCTGCAGTGAACCAAGATCGCACCACTGCACTCCAGCCTGTAGCCAGAATAAGACCCTGCCTCAAAAAAAAAAAAAAGAATTGAGACCCTGAATGGAAAATACAGAACTTCTTACAAGGTTTTGTCTAAGAACATGACAATGGATTAAAATGTATCTACATGTATTCGAAAGGCAGACTCTTTTACTGTAACCAATGAATGACCTGAGTGACTCACCATTTTTTAGAGCTATGTCTGTGCTGGTCCCAAAACTTACTATGGGTTCTAGAAGTCAACGAGGGCCCTTGAGCCACTAACAATAGTGGCCAACACGCTGGTTAGAATGCATTATCAGGAAAGTGCAACCCTATTGAGGGGTTAACGCGCACAAAACAGAGGATGACCCAATACAGTACAATACCCCGAAATAATGTGGAAAACAAAAGCGACTGTAAAGTTATCGCAAGAGCACCGGTTTTATTAAATTCCTATCCGTGCCACCCCAATCTCAAGATTCCGAGTCCATCCGGAATCCGAGCCTGAGGCTGCTCCAGCTCGCTCTCTTACGGGCGCTGCCCCGCCCCCACTCACGTGGGACGCTGACCGCTCCACGGTCTCGAGGCTGGCAAGCCCCAGAACCCGTTCAACTATTATTAAGCGCCTGCTGTGTGCAAAGTTCTGAGCTCTCTGTTGGACTCACAAAACTCAGTACGACCTGGGCCTGGTCTCTGCCCTCCAGAAAAGGACCGCGATCCGTTTACATCCTACGCCTGCAGTCCTTCCAGTTCCTATCCGTGCCCTCCGCTGGTCCGCGTACCGGCCAGAAGCCTTCCTTAGGCCGGCTGGTCACCGGGGAAAAGGCCCCGCGCTTAGCACACACCCACGCTCATAGTGGGTCGCGGCCCCTAGTGTCCTAGTACCCAGTGGGGGTCCCTGACCCACCGGGACCTCGGCTTGGAACGGAGGAGACTCCTCGGCCCGCGTTCCCCAAGCAGCGAGGGTCCCAGACTGGAACAAGCATTAGCTCCTCACCCCAGTGCACGCGGCCGGCCCGGCCCACACTTACGGCGTGCAGCGGTCGCTATACTCATTAGCGATAGTCTCGATGCCGCCGGCGCGGGCCACAGCGACGTAGCAGCTCTGGAAGCCCAGGTCTATGCCCACCACCGACATGGCGCTGGCTACTGCTCGGGCTCGGGCCCGGGTCCGGCCACCGAGACAGGACACGGACCCCGGCGGGGCTAGCGCGTGGAAAGCAGGCCTCTTGGGCCGAGGCTACTGAGGGGCGTGCGGCGTCCACGCGAGCGCCTAGGTCCTTCCAGTGGGGACTGCAACCGAGACCGCTGCTCAGGCCGGCTCCGGCTCAGTGGCCGCAGAGGAGGCGCCGGTAGCGGGGGCGGAGAAGATCTCGAAAGATCTCGTTGCGACGAGAGCTGAGCCGCAGCACGAGAACTACGAAAAAACGGAATGTTCTCGCGATATCCCGGCTCAAACGCTTTTCCCCTTCAGGTCCCGCCCCCAGTACGTATGAATACGTCACGTCCTGGCTCGAGAACCTGGGAAAGGACTGGGTGGCTAAAAGATGGCTGGGAGGTGCAATTGGCCAACCGAGCCTGCGCGTGGAACCCGCGGCGCTGCACAGCTGCATGGAAATGTGGAGCACCTCCCTTTCCCGTAGAAAGTAGGCGAGCCGACTTGAGGGACTATACTGAGGAAGCGCTGCGGCCTACTTCCGCCGTTTTTTTTTTTACTCTCAAAGATACTTCCGGTAGTGGGGTGTCTTGCATTTCACCTTGTCGGGCGCCTGGAATGAGACGCGAGCTGTTCTGCAGATCCCACAGGGTGCTTTCTATTCTTATCCCCGGTAGGGGAGAAGGCCGCCGTTGGAACGCGGCCCTTATGTCCTGTTCTGTCAAGAGTCTAAGATCACACCCTCACCAGCGGAGGGAAGGAGCCCACTCCCAGCCACACCACCTTGTTTTCTTTCGCTCAGCCTTGTCGCGCCGTTCTCTAAGCCACTCGTGTCCTTAGATCAGATTGAGGGGCCCGCAGGATTTAAGCCTTTAATCCCCAGCACATTCCAAGCACCTACCCTGTGGTAGGCCCTAACCTGGATGCAAGGAACATAGGCAAGTGATACGCTGCCTGGCCTGAAAGGTCCGCTCAGACCTTTATATGAAGCTAATAAATCTTAAGCTTCAGGACCCTTCGCTTGCATGGCCTCCTGGGAGAACAGGTAGTTGCTGAGAGTTGTGGAGAGGTTCCTCATAAGAGGAGTGTGGTGAGGGAGGGGACTGGGTAGGGGTAATCCCAGGAGGGGTTTAGATTGTAACTAGTTTAGGTTCGGTCCATCTTTCCTCTTCGGTTTTACAGTGGCTTCCGTGGGATCGACAATTTCTTGTTCATAGAGTTTCGGGTGTTTTTCTCCAGTTCTGTTACTGTAGACTGTAGAAAGCATGGGCCCCAGGGATTAGGAAGCAAATCTATGTAAGCATTTCTAATAAGTTACCCAGAGAGCTCTAAGAAGGAGGATCTGAATCTCCAAGTCTCTAGTAATGTGTTGGGATTTGTCATTTTAATTATTTGTTTTGTTTAGGGCCCCCCAATGGTATATAAGTTTCACCTCTACAAAACCAGGATCATCCCCATCATGAGGGTGGTTAAACAAGTAAAGGTGACCCCAGTACAGAAGGGCAAGTGCTATATGCACAGAATGGTGGAGACTAGGACAACTTCCCAGAAAAGGAAAAGGCTGTGTTCAAGTTTGAAAAACTAGCAATAGAGACCATAGTTTAAGGACTAAAAAGAAGTTCTCTGTTGCTGGAGGGTACACCATGAGTTGAAGGTCTCAAGGCTAGAGTACCTGCCCTTCAGCCATTTTAAAAGTGAATGAGCAAAGAAGAAATTACATTGCCCTGGTATGCCCTTCCCTTTAAATACCTGCATTTCCTGCCACCTCAGGAGGTACTTCACTTTATAGGAGCAACCCCAAACCCGGGTTGATTACCATTAAAACTTGCAAATGGCCACACATTTCTCACATTTTGCCTAATTAAAACCTGTTTTTGCTTCAAAGACAAGTACCAGGTGCTACCTGTAAAAGGGTACTGGGAGTAAAAAGAGTGGAGGCAGCAAGGAGCAGCCTTTGGAAAAACGAGAGCAGGGACATATTTGTACGTTGTATACCCGTGTTCATAGTAGCTTATTCACAGCAGCTAAAAGGAGGAAACAACCCACATGTCCATTGACAGATTAATTAGTTTTCTAAATTTAGTGTATACACGCAACAGTACATTATACAGCCTTGAAAAGACAAAGGAATGAAAGTCTGATAAATGCTACAGCATTAATGAACCTTGAAAATATGCTAAGTGAAAAGTCAAATCAAAAATATCATTTTTTTAAAATTTTTTTAATTTTATATTCAGAATTTAATATGATTCTACTTGTATCAGGCACCTACAATAGACAACTACATAAAGAGAGAAAAGCGGTTTCACGAGTAGAGTGAAATGGAGAGTTTAAGGGATACAGAGTTTCAGTTCGGGAAGATGAGAAAGTTCTGGAGATAGATGCTGGTGGTAGTTGCATAACAATGTGCATGATCAGTGACACTGATTTGTACATTTAAAAATGATGAAAATGGTAAATTTTATGTATATTTTAATCATAATTTTTTAAAGTTTTTTTAAGTTAGGTTGACCTTGACCTTCCTTCCTCTGTCTGTTTTTCTCCTACCTAGGGGCAGTATCAGTAATACCAAGGACACTGTTGACCTTAATTATGACACAGTCCTGTCTCCATCTGTTTATCTCAATTGTTAATCACTGAGCAAACAGCCCGAGCTGCCTATGCTAAATTGTCCAGTGGACCTAAAGATCACTGTCTGTGTTACTGCCTGTTTCTGCCTTCCGTCTATTGGAAGACCTCCCTAGGTCTTAGCTAAATTGATGAAAAGTACACCCCTATCTTATTGTGTTCCAACTTCATACCTCAACTACCTTGTTTGCCTTGGTTCTGCTTTCAGTTTAAAATACCACCAGCCCTATCAATCTTTTTAATGATTTGTCCTTCTCAAAATAAAACATAACTACCATCAGTCACAGAGAGTACTCATCCTGCTATAAATAGTTTCCTGGATCATCAAACTTATAGCTCAAGAGATTATTCTGGGATATTTAAATAAATGAAGTCAGGAAAAGGTTATTTCAGAATCTAAAGTGGCAAGTTTCCAAGAATCACAATTGTGAACCAACAAAGTGTCCAGAATATTTAATGTTGGAGACACTGTGATCGGAGGACAAATTCTTTCCACTTGGCAGAGTATCTTAAGTATTTAAGTATTTTAGAAGCAGGAAGTTGTTAAATGCCACTCTCAAATATGATTAAATTTAGTCCTAAGCAATTCCGGAAGTGTTTGTTTTTAGATATACAGTGTTCATAGGCTGCCCACCAAAAGACAAAAGGGTCTCCATCAACTGGGGACTCATATTTCTCCCTGCCAAGTGTCCAGTGGAATCCTGCCCTACACTCTGGAGCAGTTTCTGCAATTTTTTGCTTCACAAGGAAACTACTTCCTCAGGTAATGGTGATTTTCTGACCTCCCTGATCTTACAGTGAGTGGATCAATGCCTATAGTCAAAGCAACAACTCTTTCTTAAATTCTAAAACTCCAATAACTCAATAATGTAATTACCATGTCTCTGGCATTCCTACAGCATATGCTAGCATTATGGCAGACATTTTACTGATTTCAATATCATAATTCCTTTACATAGCAAACCCATCAGGTAGGTGTTATTTTTCCTATTTTATAGAGACCTGATAAGGTTAAGGAACTTGTTCAAGATCACACAACTTTCTCACAACTACACTGCTTCTCGATTTATTTTTCTTTTAGATGATCATGTTCTGTCACCCAGACTGGAGTGCAGTGGCACGGTCATAGCTCACTGCAGCCTGGCCTCAAGCAGTCCTCCCACCTCAGCCTCCTGAGTAACTGGGACTACAGGCATGTGCTGCCACATGCAGCTCATTTTTTTGTTTTTTTGTAAAAACGAGGATCTTGTAGCCAGGTGCAGTGGCTCACGCCTGTAATCCCAGCACTTTGGGAGGCTGAGGCGGGTGGATCACCTGAAGTCGGGAGTTCAAGACCATCCTGGCCAACATGGTGAAACCTCTTCTCTACTAAAAATACAAAAATTAGCTGGGCCTGATGTCACGCATTTGTAATCCCAGCTACTCAGGAGGCAGGGGCAGGAGAACCGCTTGAGCCTGGGAGGTGGAGGTTGCAGAGGTTGCAGTAAGCTGAAATGGTACCACAGCACTCCAACCTCGGCGAGAGAAAGAGACTCCGTCTTAAAGAGAGAGAGGGAGAGAAACGAAAGAAAGGGAAGGGGAAGGGAAGGAGGGAGGGAGGAAGGAAGGGAGAAAGAAGAAAGAAAAGAGGAAAGAGAGAAAGGAAATGAAGGAAAGAAAAGAGAGAAAGAGGCCGGGTGCGGTGGCTTACGCCTCTAATCCCAGCACTTTGGGAGGCTGAAGTGGGCAGATCACAAGGTCAGAAGATCGAGACAATCAGGTAAGTGTTAGCCAGGCGTAGTGGCGGGCGTCTGTAGTCCCGCTACATGGGAGGCTGAGGCAGGAGAATGGCATGAACCCGGGAGGCAGAGCTTGTGGTGAGCCGAGATCGCACCACTGCACTCCAGCCTGGGCGACAGAGCGAGACTCTGAAGAAAAAAAAGGAAGGAAAGAAAGAAAGAAGGAAATGGATGGGGGTCTTGCTACATTGCTCAGACAGGTCTTGAATTCCTGGCCTCAAGCAGTTCTTCCACCTCGGCCTCCCAAACTGTGTTTCACAGGACAGCGTTTGTTCTAGGAGATATCGATAGGTTAATATTACCATTTTTAAGGTTCCGAGAAGTCCGGTGGAAAACCTCTTTAACTTTGTGTAATCATAAATAAAAATATAAATATAAGAAATACTGGGAGCTCGGGGGCAGTGGCTCACGCCTGTAATCCCAGCACTTTGCGGGGCCAAGGCGGGCAGATCATGAGGTCAGGAGTTCAAGACCAGCCTGACCAATATAGTGAAGCCCCTTCTCTACCAGAAATACAAAAATTTGTCAGACGCGGTGGCACAAGCCTATAGCCCCAGCAACTCAGGAGGCAGAGGGAGGAGAATCACTTGAACCTGGGGAGATTGCAGTGAGCTGAGATCGCACCACTGCACTTCAGCCCGAACCACAGAGCAAGACTTCATCTCACAAAAAAAAAAAAAAACCTACCAGATTAATGGCTGGGCACAGTGGCTCACACCTGTAATCCCAGCACTTTGGGAGGCGGAGGAGGGCAGAACACGAGGTCAAGAGATCAAGACCATCCTGGCCAACATGGCGAAACCCCATCTCTAGTAAGAATACAAAAATTAGCTGGGCGTCACAGTGTGCGCCTGTAGTCCCAGCTGCTCTGGAGGCTGAGGCAGAAGAATTGCTTGAACCTGGGAGGCAGAGGCTGCAGTGAGCCGAGATCACGCCACTGCTCTCCAGCCTAGGCAACAGAACAAGACGACTTCTCAAACAAAAAAAAAAGAGAAAGAAAGAAATACCAGGTTAAAAATACTGGGAGAACATAGTTTAGTCTTCTGCTTTTTTTACTCAAGCATTTTTCTTTTTTTTTTTTTTTTTCAGATGGAGTCTCACTCTGTTGCCCAGGCTGGAGTGCAGTGGCGAGAACTCTGCTCACTGCAACCTCCACCTCCTGGGTTCAAGCGATTCTCCTGCCTCAGCCTTCCAGGTAGCTGGAATTATAGGTGCCCACCACCACACCCAGCTAATGTATGTTTGTTTGTTTTGAGATGGAGTTTCACTCTTGCTGCCCAGGCTGGAGTGCAATGGCACAATCTCAGCTCACCACAACCTCCACCTCCCAGGTTCAAGTGATTCTCCTGCCTCAGCCTCCCGAGTAGCTGGGATTAGAGGCATGCGCCAACACGCCTGACTAATTTTGTATTTTTAATAGAGACAGGGTTTCTCTTGTTGGTCAGGCTAGTCTCAAACTCCTGACCTGAGGTGATCCACCCACCTCGGCCTCCCAAAGTGCTGGGATTACAGACGTGAGCCACCACACCTGGCCAATTTTTGTATTTTTAGTAGAGACAGGGTTTCACTATTTGGCCAGGCTAGACTCGAACTCCTGACCTCAAGTGATCCACCCACCTTGGCCTTCCAAAGTGCTGGGATTACAGGCCTGAGCCACCTCGCCC